GGGCCAGCCGGACATCAAGACCGACTGGAGGTGGTACAGCAGGGCGGCCGCGGCGACGAGCTGCACGGGCCAGGCGCCCTGCAGCAGCAGCACCAGCAGCAGCAACAGCAGCAGCAACAGCAGCAGCAGCAGCAACAACAGCAGCAGCAACAGCAGCGGCCACCGCATCTGGTGCACCACGCCGCCAACCACCACCCGGGACCCGGGGCATGGCGGAGCGCGGCGGCCGCAGCGCACCTCCCGCCCTCCATGGGAGCGTCCAACGGCGGCTTGCTCTACTCACAGCCCAGCTTCACCGTGAACGGCATGCTGGGCGCCGGCGGGCAACCGGCCGGGCTGCACCACCACGGCCTGCGGGACGCGCACGAGGAGCCGCACCACGCAGACCACCACCCGCACCCGCACTCGCACCCGCACCAGCAGCCGCCGCCGCCCCCGCAGGGCCCGCCAGGCCACCCCGGCGCCCACCACGACCCTCACTCGGACGAGGACACGCCGACCTCGGATGACCTGGAGCAGTTCGCCAAGCAGTTCAAGCAGCGGAGGATCAAACTGGGATTTACCCAAGCGGACGTGGGGCTGGCGCTGGGCACCCTGTACGGCAACGTGTTCTCGCAGACCACCATCTGCAGGTTTGAGGCCCTGCAGCTGAGCTTCAAGAACATGTGCAAGCTGAAGCCTTTGTTGAACAAGTGGTTGGAGGAGGCGGACTCGTCCTCGGGCAGCCCCACCAGCATAGACAAGATCGCAGCGCAGGGGCGCAAGAGGAAAAAGCGGACCTCCATCGAGGTGAGCGTCAAGGGGGCTCTGGAGAGCCATTTCCTCAAATGCCCCAAGCCCTCGGCCCAGGAGATCACCTCCCTCGCGGACAGCTTACAGCTGGAGAAGGAGGTGGTGAGAGTTTGGTTTTGTAACAGGAGACAGAAAGAGAAAAGGATGACCCCTCCCGGAGGGACTCTGCCGGGCGCCGAGGATGTGTACGGGGGGAGTAGGGACACGCCACCACACCACGGGGTGCAGACGCCCGTCCAGTGAACTCGAGCGGGGGAGGGGCAGAGCGTGGGGCTCCCCCTCCCCTTCGGCCCACCGCCCTTTCCTGACCCCCTTGTTCCCTCTCTAACTTCTGATTGTTCTTTTATTTTTAATTATTATTTCCCCGTCCCTTAAGGAGAAAAAAAAATAAGGAAAGCAACGAAGGCACTGGGTTATCCAAACGGTAGCAGGTGTAATGATGTGTTTTGACCTTTACAGGCTAGTACCCAGGCAATGGAGTGTCTCACAGAGTAAGGAGAGAGAGAGAGAGAGAGAGAGAGAGAGAGAGAGAGAGAGAGAGAGAGAGAGATACCTGGCGAAACTAAATAAATTACCAAAAACAAAAATCTACCAAGCCGTGATAAATACAAAACACAGCTTCCTAATGCCGGGAGTTGGCACATGCTGCTGTGTTTATTTAATGTGGATCCCCATCAGGAAAGAGGAAAAAATACACATGTTCTTTGACGTAGGCAAAATCTAACCACATAAATTTGCACTGCAAGAAAATTGAAGTTTACATGAACAAATGCATGAACACATTTTTCTTTCTTCCACCGTTAATTTTGAAATTGCCGCGGTTTGTGTTTTGTTTTGTTTATTCAGAGGAAAGAGTTGAAGCCAGCTCTTGGCCACTCTCCATTTCTAACCTTCCCGTGTAGCCACTTGTTCTTACTGTTTGTGAACTTTGGTTACCTTCAGATCCCCTCCCCTCCCTTCCATTGGTGTAACTTTTATTTGCTTCTTTTACCAAAGCAAAAAACGATTGGCTTCATACAAAATAAATAATTCTCTGCTTTCAGGAAATGTGCATGGTCTACCATCTTTAACAAGGCAAAAATCCAGTTTGGAATACAAAAATGAGAGCCAAACATTGTTTTTTTTTGTTATCAGCCACAAAGTAAACTTCGTTTTCAGGCAGTGTTTCTGGGGGAGGTTGCAGAGGGGAGAAAAAGAAAAATTGATAGTGAGTGACCGATTGCTTCATTTTACCAAGCGGGCCCATTGTGATAGCGCTCAGAGGATATGTGGAGGTAAAGTACATTTTCAACAGAAAGAAAGTGGCACTTTGAAGAGAACTAGGGAAATACATATCTCCAGACACCCCCTGTATAGTTCTCTGCCTTCAGTTTTAATAACTTCATTTAGAAGGAATTATTTGTGCTGACAGTAGCAGTTAAACTTTGTTCCTTTAATAGCTTTAAAAAAACATAAAGAAAATAATCTGGGAACTTCATGGTGTATGCCTCGACTGTGTTTCTTAGCACACAAATACCCACATGCATACAGAGAACAGTGTTTCCACTCTAGACTGGTTTCGTTTTCACTAGCTCATTTGTATATCAAATTATATTTAAGGTCCCATACCTTCTTCTCCTGTAATTCATTACAGAAAATACCAGTTTGACTTGGACAGCTTCACCCACCCCCTCTTTCACTAAAGAAGCCAAATGTAGAAGGGGAAAAAATGCTATTTTCAATCCTTCCCTTTCTCCCTTTGTTAATAGTTTTAAGTGCATTTTTTACCTTATCTTGATGGAAAACGGATAACTCCCATAACAAAAGAATCTACTGGAAAGTGGAGGTGAAAAAAAAACACAAAACTGTAATTGTATTGAAAATAAATGCCATTAAACTGTGATCAGTTAAAATACTTAAAAGTAATCAGCACAAAAGGGCGCTAAAAGGGAAAACACTTTTTATTAATCTTAAAAGATCGGGGCTTTTTTTCTGGTTAGGTATTAGGTAAATTTTTATTTAAAAAATTAAATCTCAATACCATAAAATTATGGTTCAGCATCAGATTAGCATTGCACTTAGTAGCTAAGGTTTTAGGAAATATGCTTTAGATTGTCTTTTCAAACACCAGTGATTGTTTCATTTTCAATGTTTTTGCAAGATAAATGATGACTTATAATGGGCATATTTACTTGCCTGTATTTCATTTCCCCCAATGAATGTCACAAGGAGATGGGCATGGAGCTGCTTGGGGTGCATCACACTGCTTGTTCCTGAGGTGTGGGGACTGGCCTTTAGTGAAGCCATCCAGAGCAGGGCAATAGCCAAGGGTAAAGGGAGGAAATGAATTTTCAGATTCTTATTACCAAGTGGGTAAGGTTAGAAGCTGGGGTTCAGGGGATGTGTCTATAGCTCCTCTAACTCTCAGAGGTTTACTAAGATGAAAGTTACCACTGAACCTTCCCACTATGTATATATGTTTAATATCTGTCTTTTGAAATGCAGAAATAGTTTAAATGTTTCTTTGTCTATTTTTCTTTTTTTTTAATGCTACCCAGGGAAATATTTTCATATCATTTTTAAGTGGCCTGCCTCAATGTATATTTATTTCTTTTAAAGCAAAAAGGTTCTGGAAACTGTTTTTCTGTAGCTTTAAATGAGTAGGTGAGCAAAATCTATATGGGATGTAATTTTTTTTGTTCAGTCTCTTTAAAAATACTTTGTTTTGGTACATTTGGTTGTGCTTGTGGGGAAAATAAAAACGCAGAGATCCTTATATATTTATGTTAAAGTAATATTTTATTATCTACATAAAACAGAAATGCACAATACCTTCATAGTTTGTTCTAATTATTGAAATATCTTTATTTTATTTTAAAAAATAGTGCCAAGTTTTAAGGGGGAAAAACCTAGACCTTATACTGACTGAGTTGAGTTGTATGTAAAACACTTCCCTTCCTTTATACTTCATAAAGTTTTGGAATAAATTTTATGCATATACTGCCAGGTTTCACGTTAATAACGTTCAGAGGCTTTTTTTTTTTATTAAGTGAGACTACTATTCTCATTCACTTTTCTTTGCAAACCACCTCCCCCACCATCAATCCCAAACCATTCAGCTACTATGCCTATAGCATTAAATTGAAATGGTCATTGGGTTTGAGCTTCAATTTGCTTGCCATTTCATGGTCTGACAAAGAGATGTTTGTCCCCTCTAAATAAATGCAGATCTCCCTGCATCTTCTTTCCAGGTTAGCTTTACCTGATCTGATTTTAGTTTTTTGGAGAATATCACTGGAACTAGGTGGACTTTAATCTATACCCACATGCCCTCACATAATTTGGATCTACAGAAAAACGAGGCTGAGTTAAGGAAATTATTCTTCTTAGTGGTTTACAAAGATCTTTCAATAAACAACTCTGATTATATGCAATATGTGTGTTTACCAAGTGATAGAGGCAGGTCCTATGTATTATTCCTGTTAGGTTTACAGAGAAAAGGATGGATTTTGCGCTCATTTATACAATAGTGTCTATTTCTCATTAGGCAAACAAACAGCCTCTGAAACAAGGAAAGAACCTAGGGAGCACTCAAGACTGTGGTGCTAATAACAGATTGTTTCATAGTTGCAGATGGACATTACACTTACCAGAATCAGTTCGAAGGTTAGTGAGACATCCAAGCAGTGTTGGGTTAGTTCACAAGTTTGCTGATGTACTTCGAGTCCTCCTTGGAACATCGGTTTTAGTATAAATGTCCATTTTGAAAGGTAGTTTCTGGGCTTATTACATCTGATCATCTTTTCTAACTCCTAGTCAATATTACACAGGTCCCAAACTGATTCAGCCAAATGATCTTATCAATAGTCTGAACGCAAAGTGACAGAAAGAAGAAGTGTTTTGTGACCGCAGACATGCTGATGGGTGAAATGTTTAAGCTGGGTATAGATTTGAGTTCTGGGTCAATATCCTCCTCCATTGTAGGCAGAAAGCAAGCAGCATCTGCCCTCTGCAGGCATTTTAGTGGACCTTGAGAAGGCGTTTTTTGTTCTTAGCCACAGGGGCTACTGACTGGCAACCATCACGTGTTAAACGGACGCGCCATGGTTTTGACCCATGTTTGCCGCTCTGATTCTAAGCTATTCAAGCAGTTTCCATGCCGTTTGGGGGAGTGTATTACATGCTAAGGTGAAAAAACTCCATCACTGCCTCTGGGAGAAATTTGTGGGGCAGTCACCCCTAAAATGTTGGCTAGACACAATGACAAACCCTTTCTTTTCCCTAAAGACAATAATGCAGAAGACAGCCATCCTGAGAGCGCTCCTGTGTTTCCTCAAAATATGTCACTTTTTAAATTGATGGTGTAAGATGAGGGAGAAAGGATCATGTGGGAGTTATGTGAAGGTCGGATGGAGGGAATGGCCACTAATACTATTGTGCTTGGCACTTCTAAACATCCTCGGTTCCCACGAAGTTACCTCCTCTATATTTCAGATGCAGCAACAAAAGGACTCCTCTCCTTGCCCTTCTGCTCCTACCAGTGGGAGCCACACACCGGTTGGCAATTATTTTTCTGGTGAAATGGCTTTAATAAAGGCGCTTATCTTTCTACTTATTTCTCCAAAAACAATTAATAAAGAGATGCATTAGCAACAATGGGGGGGGGGGGGCGGGAATGGCACTGGTACCTGCACATGTAGGTCTAGATGTTGCATTCATTTGCCTTTCATTTGCCTCACTATGGAAGCAGCTCCGGAGTGCTGGGCTGCTGAGTGAGAGAAATGATCTTTTGATCATTGGCCTCTGTGATTTGTCTTTGTTGGTTTTTCAATCAGTTTGTAGGACTCTGTTCTAGATTCTATCAAATTCCTAGACAAGTTAAAGAATGAGGTAAAGAATGGAGTTTGTACCAAAAAAAGATGGGAGGATGGTAAAGCGAAGGTCAAAGGTAAAAGTGTTTCTTTGGGTCTGCTTGTTTATTTCAGTGAGGCAAAGGGGGCCGTGTCCATTCGAAATGAAAGTAAAAGATGCATCTTGAAATATTAGGAATGAATCTTGACAATAAAACTAAGTGAGATGTACAGCTAAATTTTATAGAAACGTTTTCTCTATTCAGGAAAGTTTACTTTTTCAGTGAAACATAATCTATTAACAGGGGGCAGTGGGTGGTAGGAGAGAACCAGGGCTCCTGGTTCCTATTCCCAGCACTTGATTCAGGATGGGGAATAATTCAAAGTGGCAGGGGCTCGCCACTAGCAAATCAT